GGGAGGGGTTCTGTTTGAGAGTTGCCCACTGATAGGTCCTCAGCATCTTGAAACCTGTGGCATTTTCGCTGGAGGCAGTGCAGGTTGCGGGGGTGGGGGTGAGGGGCTGTTGACACGTGTCTTTCATTGGTTTAAGCCTTCCCTGGGCTTGGCCAGGAGTGTCTGAAGCACCTGAGACAGCCCCCCGTGAGAATGCTGATTTTCAGGAGCACGTGAGACTGTCCCACAGACCCTCTGAGGATAGAAGAATAGGAAGTTTTAAAGGCAGCAAGTTAGAATGAGAACTCTAGAGTACTGCAGGCAAGGCGACTGTGATCCCAGCAGCCTGGAGGGCAGGGGGGCCACAGCTCCTCCACAGCCGGTGATTGTGCAAGCGTGAGGAATCTCCTTGGCACTCCCGGCGTCTGGGCTCCACATTCACCCCAGGAGCAGAGGTTCTGGCGTTCGGCTGGGCAGGTGACCAGGAAATGGAGGTAGCAGCCTGATACCCATTCCCTTTCTGCCACCTTCGCTTGGAGGTGCAGGTAGTGACCCATATGTCTGTCTTGTAGACACCTTTCTTTACTATGGGGTTGAGACCGTTTCCAAGCACAGAACACACCGCTTTTCCAGGGAGCTACATGAGGTGAAGCAGACTGAGTTCCTGAGTTGCTATTGGGCAGAGACCTGAGTTCACTGAAACAACTTTAGAGCCAGCCCTGTGGCCTTGTGGTCAGGGGAACAGACCCCACGTGGCCAGTGGCATGGTACAGTCCCGTCACTGGTGGGTCAAAAAGCACAGCAGGCCTTTTGGCCAGAACCGCCATCTTCCAGTAATTAACCAAAATGACGAACACAAAGGGAGAGAGGAGAGGCACCCGATATATGTTCTCTAGGCCTTTTAGAAAACATGGAGTTGTTCCTTTGGCAACATATATGCGAATCTACAAGAAAGGTGATATTGTAGACATTAAGGGAATGGGTACTGTTCAAAAAGGAATGCCCCACAATGTCACCATGGCAAAACTGGAAGAGTCTACAATGTTACCCAGCATGCTGTTGGCATTGTTGTGAACAAACAAGTTAAGGGCAAGATTCTTGCCAAGAGAATCAATGTACGTATTGAGCATATTAAACATTCTAAGAGCAGAGATAGCTTCCTGAAACGTGTGAAGGAAAATGACCAGAAAAAGAAAGAAGCTAAAGAGAAAGGTACCTGGGTTCAACTAAAGCACCAGCCTGCTCCACCCAGAGAAGCACACTTTGTGAGAACCAATGAAAAGGAGCCTGAGCTACTAGAACCTATTCCCTATGAATTCATGGCATGATGGGTGTTAAAAATAAACTAATCTGTGGTCTATTTAAATTTAAAAAATTAAAAAGGCACAGCAGGCACATGTCTATGCCTGCCCTAGATCCTGATGGGATGGAGCAGGGGTTGCGGCATGGCTACGCCCCGTGGAGAGGAGGATTCTCTTTCTGTCACACACACGTGCGCATGCTCCTGTAAATGCTTTCTAGCAATTAAAAAAAAAGGATATTTAAAGAGAAAAAAAGAAAGAACTTTAACTCCTGTTACAGTTGACTGTCACTTGCCCCCAGCTGGCTGACATGTGGTACAGAGAGATTTGCTTTGGATTCTGGTTGTGCCGTCCATAGCTGTGTGACACCAAGCAAGTTACCTACCCTGGCTTACTTTATTGCCAATTGGGCCTAAAACAGCTCAGCGGGAGGCAGAGGTGCAGCTGTGGAAGCCTCCTGCCTGGAACGCCGCTTGTGCGCTGCAGAGGTTAAAGAGGACCCTTACTGCACCACCCACCACACAAGCCAGAGGCAGGTGTAGCTTTTGAGCCTTTGGGAAATTTCCCACCTTCCCAGTGGGTATGGCCTCTTTGCCAGCTTGGAGGGAAGGAGCCCACCAGTCTATGTTCTGGGTCACTTCTGTGCTAGTAGAGCTTCTGTCCCTAGTCAATAAATGAACATGTACGTGTTTTCCAAAGCACGTGACTCGGTGTGCTGGGTGCCCAGCAGTCAGCAGCCCCTCCTCTACCTCACCCCTGGGAACCAGCCCGGCTACACCACTCCTGTGTGTGGCCAGTAGATGAGGACCCCGTGCTGGCTCTGCTTGTGGTCCTGTCACCTGCCTTCTTTCATCCACTCCTGATTTCCTGTCTTCTAGTACTTGCTTATTCTTAGGGCTTTGTGGTTAGCAGTTTTACCTTCACCATGACCCTTTCCCCCCGAAATAACCCATCTGCCATCTCTTCCCTTCCCCTGACTACCCTACTGCTTCTCACCCTGTCCCTGATTGGAGGGATCCCGGGGCAGTTTCCAGGGGTAGCCGTCAAGCTCTCGGAGGGCGGGTGACCAGAAATGGCTCTGTGAGAGGCGCGCTGACCGAGCTGGGAGTCTGGGCTGAATTTCTGCCTGGCCTTGGCCATCCTCCCTGTCCACTCAGGTACTTGGCTCAGGAGACGATGGACAAACCCCAGGTGTATTTCTTTGAGGTCTAGTAGTCTCTCCTTACCTGTGGTTTTGGCTACCTGTGGTCAACCACAGTCTGAAAATATTTAATGGAAAACTCCAAAACCAATCAGTTCGTAAGTTGTTTTTTTTTTTTGAATTATTTATTTTATTTATTATTATTGTTATTTTTAATTTGTCCAGAAAGAGAAAGAGAGAGAAAGCAAGAACACAAGTTGCCAGGTCCGGGACTTGAACTATGGTCAGCCATGTGGGAATCCAGCGCCTTTAACCACCTCCCCACCTGGTGGCCCCAACAGTTCCTAAGTTTTAAATTGCATTCTGTACTCTGTACCATGAAGAATCTCGTGCCCTCCCAGTCTGTCCAGCGTGTCCATGCTTGCTACACTACCTGCCTGATGGTCACCTACCAGCTGTCTCAGCTACCAAGCCAAAAAATATAATATTAGGGTTTAGTACTGTCCATCTCAGAGGACCTCAGGGGCTGTGGAATTCATCCCCCGTGGGTAGGGAGTGGACTGCTCTACAGGAGGAGTTGCTAAAATTCACCTGTGGTAAAACAGTTCTTAGACCCTTGCAATGGACTATACCCCACAAAAATGTAGTGATTAGATGTAAACCAGAAATCATACCAACAACAGTGAAAAGAAAATATTAAACTGTACATTCAAATTCTTTTTTTAAAGAATTATTTATTTAATTTTACTTATTATTATTTTTTTAATATGACTAGAGAGAGATGGGGTGGGACTTGAACTGCAGTCAGACTTGTAGGAATCCACCACCTTAAAAACCACACCTTCGGTTGCTGCCTCCCACCCCTTTTTTTAGGTTTCGCCATAGGGCACATGTGTTCCCCAGAGAGAGACAGACAGAGAGCGGGAAAGTGTGAAATCACCCTCTGGGGGGATCCTTTCTCCTTCATTCTCCTCCCAGGGTCTTGGGCACACATACACACGTGATCACCGTGTTTTTCAAGCCACTGAGTCTGGGACTTGAACTGTGGTCAGCCGTGTGGAAGTCCAGCAATGTAACTACTATACCATCTGCTGGTACCACAGCTGTCTTTCAGTATCACCTGTGTGCTGTGTTTTTCAGTAGGTTATAGCTTGGTGGGTAGGAAGTACTTTCAGTTTAAAATCTTACTTTCTTTTCCAGTCCTGAAAGTTAGTAACACTGGGATGCAAAGGATTGTGCCTAAGTCTAAGGAGGGTTGCCAAAATGTGCTGAGAACTGTGCTTACGTCCTAATCACTGGGGAAGTGTCTCCATTATTTTTATGTGTGAAAATCTCCTAGATGTCTTGCTGCCCCCACCATATTCATCTAAAACACAGGGCTCTATGTTGCCCACACACCGTTCCGTGGCTGCCCCTTCAGTGGCTTACTGAGCTTTACAGATGGCATCCCTTTGCAGAATTCCTTAAGAAATACTCCTTGGTCCTGCTCTCCTTTGATCCTTAAGCAAAATAAGAACACCATACTGTAGTCAGCTTTAACAGCTGTGGGATCCACAATTCCCCAAGGTCAACAGTGAGGGTTGCAATGAGTATTTTTTCACAATATTACCACTTCATTTTTACCCTTTAGTAGTTATAGATGTGTTTTATGGAATTTGGGGGGAATCTCAGAGGCATATTAGTACTTTTTTTTGAGAGAGATTATTTGCTATAGGATGTATGTGGGATTTTGGGCTTGTATGGATACTCATGTGTTTTGTTTTTTTTTTTAACTTTATTTATTTATTTTAATTTGACGAGAGAGGGACACAGAGAGGGAGAGAGAGACAAAGAGAGTGAGAAGGCAATCTACCAGGTCTGGGACTCAAACCACCATCAACTATGTGGGAGTCCAGTGCCCTTAACCTCCACGCCACCTACTGACTCCAGTATATATTTTCTTAATTTTTTTTTTTTAGTTTATTATTATCATTTTAAATTTGCCATAGGGCACATGCACCCACCAGAGAGAGAGGGAAAGTGAGAAAGCAGGCTGCTAGGTCTAGGACTTGAACCACTGAAGGCCACGTGGGAGTTCAATGCCTTAGCCACCATGCCACTGGCTGGCCCTCCAGTGCATACTTTAGATTCCCAGCACATCTCCATTTCGGATCAGCCACATTTGAGTCCTCAGTAGCCTGGGACTGGTCATGGACAGGACAGGTTAACTCAGTTCATATCTGTTGAGATTCAGTTTCTTTCCTTCTATAGCTTTTTCATTTTGAGGCCACAACTTATAAGCAGAGACTACAAGGAGACTGTCCAAACTGGGGTCTGCTGTAGGGCCTAATTTGCTCAAATAATGTTCCCTGGCCCATAATTGATGCTTACGGCATCTTCCGCCCACATAAACTCTTGAAGAGCTCCCCACAGGCACACACGAGGCCCTGGCACCCGAGCATCTGTAAGTGACACTAGGAGGACATGGTTCTACCTCTGCAGAGCCTTTAACCTTTTAACCCGAGCTGGACTGGGAGGGTAAGGGAAATTGTGGGTAGGGAAAATTAAGAAATAAGTCAAGCAACAAATCATGACTTCGTTTTTATCTTTTCATTCAGTGGAATAGAAGATGAACTCAACTGAATTCAGTGAAGATGTAGAAGAAGGTAAGAGAAACGCCTGCTTTAAAAAGATGTTTTTAATTTAATATTTTTGGTTAGGTCATACATTTGCATTGTCCAAAAGTATAAAAAGATATATAATGAAACATCTCCCACCCCTGGTTCCCATTCTCTTCCAGTTAGGATAAGCATCTTACATGACTTTCAAGAATTAGCTATTTTTTTCCTTTATAAGAGAGAGGGGAAAGGGAGACTGAGATAGAGGGTTTTTTATTATTATTATTATTATTTACACATTCAATCGCTATACCTCATTTAGATTGTAAAGAGACTTTACCCAGCATGATACGCATCTCAGTCCAGTTGAGAATACTGTACACGTCCTCATCAACAGATCACAAACCACATCCGTGTCCCACAGATATCTTACCTCTCCATTTCTTTCCCCTAATTTCTTTTCCTGCACTCTTCCTCTCCCACACTCTCCTTCCACTTTGTGTCTAGTGTCCACAGCAATTTTTAATGCCTTTATGTCCTCCAGTCTTTCAGTCTCTGCCATAGAGTACGGACAGTCTGTGAGACAGAGATTTGTGACAGGGTCTCCATGTCCTCGTCCTGCCTGAGCCTCCTGTTAGCTAGGATGATGGGCACAGTTGCACGTCTGGCTTGTTCAGGTTGGCTTGGAACTAGACCGGGTTCCCATGTGGCCTCCAGCCTCAGAGCAGTGGCACTGCATGTGCTGGGCCCAGAGTAACTCCTAAAAAGCACGAAAACATAGGATCAGCAGATTGTGTAGCAGTTATGTTGCTAGACTCCCACATGGCTGACCGTGGTTCAAATCCCAGATGGGGTGGCTTAAAAATCACACCAGTGTGTGTACATGAATGTCCAAGATCCTGGGAGAGAATGGAGAAGAAGGGATTGTGGCGTGGCCATCCTCCTTGGGGGGGGGGGAAGGGTGATTCCTCACTTTCTCTCTTACTGTCTCTTGGGGAGTTTAGGTGCCCTAAAGCAAAAACCTCTTTTTTTTTTAAATTAAAGAATTATTTTACTTTATTTATTTTATTTAAAGAATTATTTATTTCATTTTATTCATTAATTCATTCATTTCTTAGAAATTTGACCAGAGAGAGAGAGGGGGAGGGAAAGTGAGAAAGCAAGCTGCTACGTCTGAGACTTGAACTGTGGTTGGCCGTATGGGAGTGTCCAGTATGTTAACCACTATGCCACCTGCTGGTCCCCTATTTATTTATTTAAATTTGACAAGACAGAAACAGAGAGAGAGAGGGAGAGAGAGAGAGAGAGAGAGAGAGAGAGAGAGAGGAAAGGGAAGGTGAGAAAGCAAGCTGCCCAGCCCAGGACTTGAACTGCGGTCAGCCATGTGGGGAGACCAGCACCCTTAACCACCACGGCACCTGCTGGCCCAACAAAAATCTCTTTAAAAAAAAGCACAAAACATAATATTTAGTTCTTCTTTCATGTCCCTCCCCACAAAATATTTTCAATCGGGATCAGCAGATGGCGTAACGAATGTCACTGGACTCCCATGTAGTCAACCGCTGTTCGAGTCCTGGACCGGGTGGCTTAAACTCACGCCAGGTGTGTGTGTGTGTGCATGCCCAAGATTCTGAGAGGAGAATGGAGGAGAAGGGATTGTGGTGTGGCCATCCCCCCAGAGGGTGATTTCTCGCTTTCTGTCTCTCTGTCTCTGGCTTTCTGGCAAGTGCACATGCCCTCTAGCAAAAACCTCTCCATAAAAATATTTTCTTTTTTGGGGCCGGCAGTTGCGTGGTGGTTAAGGGTACTGGACTCCTACATGGCCAACCATGATTCGAGTCCCGGACCTGGTGGCTTGTTTTTTTTTTTTTAAGTCTATTATTTTATTTAACTTTATTATTATTATTTTCCAGTTTGATCAGAGAGAGACAGAGAAAGAGAGAGAGGGAAAGTGAGAAAGGAAGCCACCAGGTCCAAGACTTGAACCGCAGTCAGCCATGTGGGAGTCCAGCACCTTTATCACCACGCCACCTGCCAGCCCCACCTGGCGGCTTGTTTTATCACTTTCCCTCTGTCGCTTTATCTCAACCTGGTCAAATTTAAATAAATAAATAAATAAATAAATAAATAAATAAAGTTAAAGTCGATAATTCTAAAAAAAAAATCTTTAAGAAACTTTTTCTTTTTGATTTTGAACTAAATGTTTTTGGAATGTAGTTTTACTATGTACCACTAGTATAGTGAGATAAAAATTGCTTTGTTTGAAAACATGGGTTTATTATGACTAGCCATCCCTGTCAGACTCAGAATGTCAAAGACGGTCCGTAAACCCAGCTGGTCTCTGAGTGGCCCTGCTCTTTATACTGAGTCCTATTTCTTCTCTGCTATAGTTCTAAAAAATAACATTGTGAAAGTGGAGACAGAGGCTGAAGATGGTGCCCTGGACTGCTCGGTGAATTCCAGACCTGAGAAGCACCCTCTGGACAGTGTCTTCACTGCCCTCCAGGACTCCAGCAAACGAAAGCAGCCTGGCAGCGACAGCCAGGTAGACCCCGTCTCCAGCGTGAAGAGGAAGCGGCTGATACCTGAGGTGAGGCCCTTCCGTTCTCTGCTTGGGCTCTAACCCTCTCTGATTCAGTGCTGAGTCTCTGTGCTCTTGGGCATCTGAGCAACTGCCAAACCCTTGGGCATGAGAAAGACTTCCTTTAAGCTATCCCATCCCTGGCTTCAGTTGAAAGGGTCTTTAACTGGAATTCTTATCTTCATCTGGATTCCTTAAGGGTTGGAGGAGTCTTCACAGTGCAACTGCTTTTGAATTCTTTGGTTTGCATGCCCAAGATTCTGAGAGAAGAATGGAGAAGGGATTGCTTTGTGGTCATCCTTCCAGAGGGTGCTTTTCAAGGTCTCTATCTCCTGTTTCTCCAGGGAGTGCATGTGCCCTATAGCAAATAAAAAAAAAAATTCTAAATAAATCCTCAGTGAGTCTTTTTTTTAAAAATAATTATTTTATTTAACTTTATTTATTTTTTAATTTTGACCAGAGTAGCAGAGAGAGAGAGAGAGAAAGTGAGAAAGCAAGCCGCCAGGTCCGGGACTCAAACCGTGGTTGGCCCTGTGAGAGTCTAGCACCTTAACCACCACGCTACCTACCTGCCCCCTGAGTGAGTCTTTTGTAAATTAGAAATTCTTTATTTAGAACCTGTTCACCCTAAGTCACTATTTTAGTAACTTGCTTTATTTCTCAATCATGTGCTGGTTATATTGAACCTGGCTAAGTGCTGAGGGAGAGAGAAACTGGAAGTGGATATAGTGGCTCCCCCCCCAGCCCATGCTGGGGGATGATGAACTGTTCTGACTGAGAGAGCGAGGGACATCTCTGAGAAGTCAGCAGCCTCCCCATGGTCCAGCACATATACCTTTCTGGCGCCAAAGAATATTTTCCTAAGCTTCTGATCTGTTTCCCTGCTATCACATTATCACGTGTATTAGTACTTCATTACTTTTTAAATTTAATTTTTTAGAGCAATTTTAGGTTCACAGCAAAATGAAGAAAACGGTCCAGATTTCCCATGTCCCTCCTGTCCCCACATGTGCAGACTGCCCCATCGTCAGCGCCCCTCCCCACCAGTGTGGTTTGTATGTTAAAACTGAGGACCCAGCTTGACACATTACCGCTTTGGGGTTCAGTCTTGGTGTCTCATTATCTGTGGATGTGGACAGCTGTATGCTGACACGCAGCCACTGCTATAATATCACACAGATTTCACTCCCCTAACGACCCACTGCTGTTTATTTATCTGACCCTCCTGCCTAACCCCTGGCAACACTGATACCTTTTTGCCTCTATTGTTCTGACTCGTCCAGAATGTTTTATAGTTAAAATCAGACAATATGTAGCCTTTCAGATTGGCCTCTAGAGGGTACATGTGCTTGCGAGAGAAAGAGAAAGAGAGAAAGCTCTCCCTGTGGCGTATAGTTAAACTGTAATCTTTCTCCATTTCACCTTTTGGGGTCTGGGGCATTCATGTGCATGTATGTGGTGTGATTTTCCAGGTCTTGAACTGCACAGCCATGTGGGTTCTGGCATCCTTAACCACCATGCCACCAGCTGGCCTCACATTGGCTTCTTTCACTTATTGATAGGCTCACAACTTTCCTCTGTGTGTTTCCATAGATTGGTAGTTCACTTCCTTGCAGCACTGAGTCATACTCTATTGTCCATCCAGTTGTTCATCTAGTCTCCTACTGAGGCACATCTTGGGTGTTCCTTTCAGATTTTGGAAGTATGAATACAACTGCTATAAATATCCTTGTGTTAGTTTTTGTGTGCACGTAGTTTTTCAGCTCTTTGGGGCAAATACCAAGGAGTGATTGCGAACCATAAGCTAAGTGTAGGTATAGTCTTATAAGGAACCAAAAAAACAGATACTACACTCGATCTTAGCCAAAGGCCAAGAAGTGATCGTTTTCTAAGAAACTGCTAACCTGTTTCCCAGAGTGGCTGTACCATTAATGAATGAGAGTTCCTATTACTTTTGTGTTGTTGCCAGCATTTGGTGTCGGGGTTCTGGATTTTGGCTATTCTAGTAGGTACTTCTCATTGTGCTTTTTTTTAAATTAAAGATTTATTTATTTTCAATTTATTATCATCATTCTTCCATTTCAATCAGAGAGAGACAGACAGAGAGAAAGGAGAGTGAGTAAGCAAGCCGCCAGGTCCGGGACCTGAACCGCAGTCGGCCATGTGGGAGTCCAGCACCTCAACCACCATGGCACCTGCCCTCCCCCTCATTGTGCTTTTAATTTGTGTTTCCCTGCTGACATATAATATGGAGAATCTTTTTATATGTTTATTTGTCAGTTCTCTGTGTTACTTGGTGAGGTGTCCATTAAAGTTTTTGGCAGTTCTTTATTTTGGGAAGAGAGATTTTTGCAATTTTGTGCATGCGCTCACAGGAGAGACAGATAGAAAGCTAGAAATCACCCCCTAGAGGGATGGCCACACTGCAGTCCCTTCTCCCCCATTTTCCTCTCGGGACTTTGGTCATGCACACACACACACCTGGGGTGAGTTTCAAACCAATGGGTCCAGGAGAGTGAGTAAGCAAGCCGCCAGGTCCGGGACCTGAACCGCAGTCGGCCATGTGGGAGTCCAGCACCTCAACCACCATGGCACCTGCCCTCCCCCTCATTGTGCTTTTAATTTGTGTTTCCCTGCTGACATATAATATGGAGAATCTTTTTATATGTTTATTTGTCAGTTCTCTGTGTTACTTGGTGAGGTGTCCATTAAAGTTTTTGGCAGTTCTTTATTTTGGGAAGAGAGATTTTTGCAATTTTGTGCATGCGCTCACAGGAGAGACAGATAGAAAGCTAGAAATCACCCCCTAGAGGGATGGCCACACTGCAGTCCCTTCTCCCCCATTTTCCTCTCGGGACTTTGGTCATGCACACACACACACCTGGGGTGAGTTTCAAACCAATGGGTCCAGGACTTGAACTGCAATTGACTACATGGGAGTCCAGCGATGTAACCATTATACCATCTGTTGGTATCCCCTTTGGCCCTTTTTAAAAAAGAAAATTTGGGAGGACCAGCAGATGGTGTGATGGTTACATCACTGGATTCCCACATAGCTGACCACAGTTTGAGTCCTGGGCCTGGAGGCTTGAAACTCCAGGCAGGCGCATATGCGTGCGTGCCCAAAGTCCCGAGAGTAGACTGGAGGAGAAGGGACTGCTGTGTGGCCATCCTCCCTAGGGGAGTGATTTCTCATTTTCTGACTCTGGCAAGCACAAGCTCCCTATAGCTAAGAATCTCTATTTTTTAAAAAAGTTTTTTATTTTTGGGGGGAGAGATTTTCACTATAGGTCGCGTGCACTTGCCAGACAGAGAGAGACGTAGAGACAGAAAGCGAGAAATCACCCCCCAGAGGGGATGGCCACACCGCAATCCCTTCTCCTCCATTCTCCTCTCAGGATCTTGGGCACACATGCACACGCACCCGGCGTGAGTTTTAAGCCCACCGGGTCCGGGATGCGAACCGCGGTCGACTACATGGGAGTCCAGTAACATAGCCATTACACTAACTGCTGGTTCCCCTAAAATCTCTTTAAAAGAAAAAAAAATAATTAAGGTTTTTGCCATAGGGCATGTGTGTTCACTAGAGACAGAAAGACAGACAGTGCCCCGTGGGGGGCAGGGCAGTGGCCATACTGCAGTCCCTTCCCCTTCATTCTCTTCCTGGGGTTTTAGACATGCATGCACACACGCCTTAGCCATCATGCCACCTGCTGGCTCTTGCCCCCGCCTTTTTTTTTTTCTTTTTTAAGACTTATTTATTGGGGCCAGCAGGTGGCATGGTGGTTAAGAGTGCTAGACTCCCACATAGCCGACTGCCGTTCAAATCCCTGACCTGGTGGCTTGCTTTCTCACTTTCTCTCTTTCTCTTTGCATTCTGCCCCTCTCTGGTCAAATTAAAATAAATAAATAAAATGAAAAGTTCAATACAATAGTTCTTTTAAAATAAATTCTTTTTTAAAAAGGAATTATTTATCTAATTTTACTTATTTACTTGTTTATTTTAATTTGACCAGAGAGACACATAGCAAGAGAGAGAAGGAAAGTGAGAAAGCAAGCCACCAAGTCCAGGACTTGAACTGTATTAAGTCATGTGGGCATGTCCAGTGCCCTAACTATCATGCCACCTGCTGGTCCCCATGGCCCAGTTTTTAATTGGGTTGTTTGTATTCTTATTGTTGAAGTTTAAGAGTTATTTGTATATTTTGGTTAACAGTCCTTTATCAGATGTGTCTTTTAAAATATTTCTTCCCTGTCTATGCTTTGTCTTTGTATTCTACTGACTAGTGTCTTTTGTGGAACAGAGATTTTTAATTTTTTTTAAGAGATCTTTGCTATAGTGAATACGCATTTGCTGGAGAGACAGAGACAGAAAGCCAGAAATCACCCCTCCCCCCCCACCCCAGAGTGGATGACCATGCCTCAATCCTTTCTCCAATCTCTTTTCAGCATTTTGAGCATGCACACATATGCACCCAGCCTGAGTTTCAAGCCACAGGGTCCAGGAGTCACCTTAACTACTTTGCAGCTTGTTGGGCCTGAGAAAATTTTAATTTGAATGAAATTCGGCTTATCAGTAATTTCCTTCATGGATTGTGCTTTTGGTGTCTTACCTAAAAAGTCATTGCCAAATCAAGTTCATTTAGGTTTTCTTCTGTGTTATCTTCTAGGTTTATTTTTTTTAAGCTTATTTATTTTTTTCAGTGAGTGAGAGAGGCAACACCTCCAGCAGGGTCCTGATGCCATGATTTACCACTGTAAATTGTGTTATATTCTTATTTTTATTTTTATATCTTAAAATTTTTTTAAATGTATTATTATTAAGTGCATGCACATGTACATGAGAATGAAAGAGAGAGGTGAGCATGCTGCACAGCGTCTGGTCACATCGTCAGCTCCTTCCTCTCGTCCTCCAGACTATCAGATCTTGAGACCCCCGTCTCAGCCTGCCCTGGGTCTGGGCAGGCACGTGCCCAGTGTACTCTGGGAGGTTTCTGGGTGTATACCTG